TTTTCAAACTTTTAATTTTTCATTTCTTCAGTTTAGTCATTTGCAATTTTCCGATTTTCCACTTTTTCGGATTTTGCAATTTTGCGTTTTTTCAATTTATCAATTTTCTAATTTTTCGATTTTTCAACTTTTCGAATAAAAAATGGAAAAACGAAAAAGAAGATATCCGAAAACGAGAAATCCAAAAATTGCAAATTGGATTTTAAAAATCGTGGAATTGAACAATGAGAAAATTTGAAACGAAAAATTATAAAATCGAAACGAAAAAAATGTGTTATGAAATCGAGAAAATGAAACTGAAAAATCGGAAAAATGAAAATTAAAAATCAAGAACTTGAAGAAAATAACAAAAATAAAAAATTACAAAGTTCAAAAAAAAGAAAAACGAAAAATTGGAACATCAAACAATGGTAAAATCGAAAAACTAAAACTCGGGAAAACGAAATATTGAAAAATTAAAAACTGTAAAATTGAGAAATTGAAAAAAAAATTAATTTTAAGATTATAGAATGTTGCTATTTTTCAATTATTGAATTTTGAAAAATTTTCATTTATACGACTTTTCAATTTTTTGATTTTTAAATTTACAATTTTTCGATTCCGCAATTTTTCTTTTCTTCAAATTTTCAATTTGCAACTTATCGTTTCGGTTTTTTGTTTTCTTTTTTTTTGCAATTTTTTTAATCTTCGTTGTTGCTATTTTACAATTTTTTATTTTCTTCAAATCAATTTTTTCAATTTTTGGTTTCTTCAATATTTCGATTTGCATTTTTTTGTTTCTCAATTTGCAACTCGTCGAGTTTTGATTTTGAATTATTCAGTTTTTCGATTTTCCAGCTTTTGGATGTTTCAATTTTTCGATTTTGTAATTTTTCGATTTGCAAATTCTCTAGATTTCAATGTTTAATTTTTCAATTTTTGATTTTTAATTTTTCAATTTATCGATGTTGCGATTTGCAATTTTCTGTTTCGGTTTTTTATTTTCTTTATTTTTCTATTTTTCAATCTTCTGATTTTAAAATTTTATTTTCAGCTTGAAAATTTTCAATTTTTGAATGTTTCAATTTGCAATTTTTCGAGTTTAAAATTTCCAGTTTTTCAATTTTCCAACTTATGAATTTTTCAATTTTTAGATGTTACAATTTTTTTTCAATTTTTCGTTTCGGTTTTATTTTTCTTTACTTTTTCATTTTTTGGTTCTGTAATTTTTCTGTTTCCAATTTTTGCATTTTAAAAGTTTTTAATTTTTTGTTTTTTCAATTTTTGATTTTTCAGTGTTTCAATTTACACGTTCTTGAGTTTTCAGTTATTAATTTTTCAATTCTTCAATTTTTTCATTTTTGTTTGTTTCTTCAATTGTACAATTTGCAACTCTTGGAGTTTTCATTTTTAAATATTCCAGTTTTATGAATTTTAAACTGTTGGATGATTCAATTCTTCAATTTTTTATTTATTCAAATTTTCGATTTGCAATTTTTCGTTTTAGTTTTTTATTTTCGTCACTTTTTCAATTTTTCAGTTTTTCAATGTTCTGATTTTAGAATTTTTCTCTTTTCCAATGTGAAATTTTTCGATTTTTCAATTTTTCGTTTCTTCAATTTTTGATTTGAAAATTTTCTAGTTAGCATTTCAAATATGTTGTTATATTAATAATAATAATAATAATAATTTGAATTTTTAAAAATTTCCACTTTTTCAATTTTATGATTTTAGAATTTGTCCATTTTTCAATTATTGGACTTCGTTCATCCAATTTCTCGATATTTATTAATTTTTCAATTTTTCGTCTTCACAATTTTTATGATTTTATAATTTTTTGGGTTTTAAGTTTTTCAAAGTTTCAATTTTTCATTCCTTCAGTTCAATGATTTGCGATTTTCCGATTTTTCACGAATAAAAAAATTGAAAAAATTCAAAATCGTAAAATTGTAAAATCAAAAATGGAAAAACGAAAAAGAAGGTATCCGAAAATGAGAAATTGAAAAATTGCAAAATTGAATTTTTTTTTAAATCGTGGAATTAAACAATGGGAAAATTTGAAACGAAAAATTGTAAAATTGAAACAAAAAATAAAGGAAATGGAAAACGAAAAAAATGTGATACAAAATCGAGAAAATGAAAATAAAAATTCAGAAAAATGAAAAACAAAAATCAAGAACTTGAAAAATTGAGGAAACGAAAAATCGAAAAATTAAAAACTCAAAGAACTGAAAAATCGAGCAAATGAAAAATTGTAATATTGTAAATTTTCAAAATTGAAACATTGCAACTCGAAAATTAAAGAAACAAAGCATTGAAATATTTGGAAGTGGAGAAATTGAAAAATTGAAAGAATAAAGTTGAAAAAAAAATTCTAAAACCGAAAAAATGAAATATCCGAAAATTGAAAAAATAAAGAAAATGACAAAAATCAAAAATTATAAAATTCCAGAAAAAGAAAAACGAAAAATTGGGACATCAAACAATGGTAAAATCGGAAAACTAAAAATCGAGGAAACGAAAAATTGAAAAATCAAAAACTATAAAATTGAGAAATTGAAAAAAGATAAGAATTTTACGATTTTAGAATGTTGCCATTTTTCAATGATTAGATTTTGAAAAATTTTCATTTATTCGACTTTTCAATTTATTGATTTTTAAATTTACAATTTTTCGATTCTGTAATTTTTTTTCTTCAAATTTTCGATTTGCGACTTATCGTTTCGGTTTTTTGTTTTCTTCTTTTTTGCAATTTTTTTAATCTTCATTGTTTCTATTTTAGTTTTTTGTTTTCTGCAATTTCAATTTTTTTCGATTTTTATTTTCTTCAATTTTTCGATTTGCAAATTTTTTTGTTTCTTCAAATTTACTTTTCGAGTTTTGATTTTGAATTATGTATTCAGTTTTTCGATTTTTCAACTTTTGGATGTTTCAATTTTACGATTTTGTAATTTTTCGATTTGCAATTTCACGAGAATTCAATTTTTAATTTTTCAATTTTTGATTTTAATTTTTCAATTCTTCAATGTTGCGATTTGCAATTTTTTGTTTCGGTTTTTTATTTTCTTCATTTTTTTCTATTTTTTATATTTCGATCTTCTGATTTTGAAATTTTTGTCTTTTTCAATTTGCAATTTTTCGATTTTTCAAATTTAAATTTTTTCATTTTTCGTTTTGTCAAGTTTAGATTTTTCAGTGTCTCGATTTTTCAAAAAAAAAAAATTATAAAAAATTATAAAATCGAAGGAAAAGAAAAAACGAAAAATTGGGATATTAAAAAATGGTAAAAACGAAAAATTGAAAAATAAAATATTGGGAAAACGAAAAATTATAAAATAAAAACTTGAAAAACAGAATAAAGAAAAAACTGAAAAATCAAAAATTCTAAAATTCAGAATATGAAAAATAAAAATCAAGAACTTGAAATATTGAATAATTAAAAAATGAGAACCTTAAACATCGAAAAACGAAAAATTGGGACATCAAACAATGGTAAAATCGAAAAACTAAAAATCGAGAAAACGAAAAATTGAAAATCAAAAACTCTAAAATTGAGAAATTGAAAAAAAATTTTTTCAATGATTGGATTTTGAAAATTTTTCATTTATTCGACTTTTCAATTTTTTGATTTTTAAATTACAATTTTTCGATTCTGCAATTTTTCTTTTCTTCAAATTTTCGATTTGCAATTTATCGTTTCGGTTTTTTGTCTTCTCTATTTTTTGCAATTTTTTTATTTTTCATTGTACCTATTTTCTAGTTTTTTGTTTTCTGCAATTTCAATTTTTTTCAGTTTTTGGTTTCTTTAATTTTTCGATTTCCATTTCTATTGTTTCTCCAAATTTACAGCAACTCTTCGAATTTTTCAGTTCATCAACTTTTGGATGTTTAAATTTTTCAAATTTTATTTTTTAATTTTTCAATTCTTCAATGTTTCGATTTGCAATTTTTCTTTCGGTTTTTTATTTTCTTTATTTTTTTTTCTATTTTTCAATTTTTCAATTTTTTCAGTTTGAAAATTTTCAATTTTTGATTGTTTCAATTTGCAATTTTTAGATTTTTCAATTTTGGATTTTTTAATTTTTCGTTTTGTCAAGTTTAAATTTTTCAATTTCTCGATTTTTCAAGAAAATAAACATTTATAAAACCGAAGGAAACCAAAAATTGGGATATCAAAAAATGGTAAAATAAAAAAATTGAAAAATAAAAAATCGAGAAAACGAACAATTATAAATTAAAAACTTGAAAAACCGAAGAAACGAAAAACTGAAAAATCAAAAATCGTAAAATTGAGAATATGAAAAATGAAAATCAAGAACTTGAAAAATTGAAAAATTGGAAATCGGGACGGGACATTGAAAAGACGAAAAATTGAAAAATTTAGTTGAGAAATCGAAAAAATGAAAAAACGAAAAATTGTGACATCAAAAAATTGGTTGAAGGTAAATAAATTCAGATTTTTCAAAAACTTATAAGCTTTGATTTTGCAGATTTTATTATTTTTTTTATTATCTTAATTTGATCATCACAATAAATTGCCTCATTCATTTGAGTCACCCTGAATAAATATTTCTAAAAATAATCAGTGCATTGATAAAACAAGTATATGTATATTCAGCAAAATTTTCAGATGACGTCACCAATTTTTGGGAAGGCATAAACGAATAAAGTTAAATTGCAAAGTGTTGTTATAGAATTTTGATTTTTTTCAAAAATCTGAATGACACAATTGTCGCTTTTAATCAATCAAAACCACGCTTTCCTTGATGAAAAAATGAACTTTTACTTTGTTTCGTTAAAAAACAACCTTACCTGATGAAATTTTGAGGTTAGCAAAATCAATCAAATACCCCGGTTATTCCGGCCATCAAAAAATTTTAAATATGTTGCCAACCAAACAAAAAAACAGCAAGAAAACTACCAAAACACCTACTTCCCCCATCAACACGAAAACCACCCCAATTCTGAGACATTGTATTTAAAATGTAGAAAATGGTAATACATTTAGTACAAGCACGAACCTTCACGACATCCGTACAAAAATCCATAACGATGGTGACCTTCGCTTCGCCTTTCTTTTCGTCTTTGTACAACTCGAGCATGTAGGTACCATCCACCTCCTGCCGCAACGAGCAGTACCTCCTCTTGAAACTCTTCGAGCCTATGTTCACGAACGTCCGCTCCGACCCCACTTCGGGCCCCTTCATCAAGTACCCCTCCTTCGTGACGCTGTCGACCCTCGGCTTCACGTCGTCCTCCGCGTCGGTATCGATGTCGATCTCGTAGTTCTCCTCCTTGTACTCCGTGTTGGGCAACTTCGGGAGGTCCGCGTATGTTCCGGAGTACGCGTTGTACTTGTAGTGGATCAAGTTCCAGTTGGAGGAGTAGCTGGCGATGCACTGCTTGGTGAAGAGGGAGCAGTTGTCGGTGTCTTCGCTCGACGGGAAGGTCTGGTAGAGGGTTCTGTAGCGTCGTGGAAGGACGACCTCCTAAAAAAAATGGTCCAGGGTTATTTCGACAGAATTTTTCAAGTTTTTAAGTTTAAATTGTCACTTTTTCAATTTTTCAAGTTTTGAATTTTTCAATTTCCAGAATTTGTAATTTTGCAATTCGAGTTTTCAAGTTTCCAATATTCCAATTTTTAAATTTTCATTTCTTCAAATTTTCGATTTGCAATTTTTCGTTTCACTTTCTTTTCCTTATTTTTTCAATTATCTGATTTTTTAATGTTTCGATTTTATAGTTTTTTGTTTTTTCGATTTTTTGGTTCAATTTTATGCAACTCTCCCAGTTTTCATTTTTAAATTGTCTAGTTTTGGATCTTCCAATTGTTAGATTATGCAATTTAAGGAGTTTTCAATTTTCAATTTTTCAATTTTCTTTCCATTTTTCATTTTCAATTTTTCGATTTTTCAATTCTGGGATTTTTTAATGCTTCGTTTTTTTTCAATTTTAGATTGTTCAGTTTCATGATTTTTCATTTACTGTAGTTTTCATTTTAAATATGAATAACAATAATTTCACTTTTTCATTTACCTATTTCACTTTCCAACTTTGCGATTTATCATTTTTCAATTTTTTGATTGTTCAGTTTTTCATTTCTTTTTTCAATATTTAGGTTTTTCAATATTCTTTCTTTATTTTTTTTTTTTTATTAATTTTTTTTCAATTTTCCGTTTTGCAATTTTTCGATTTTTTGATTTTTCAATTCTTCAATTTTTCGATTTACAATTTTTCGTTTCGATTTTTTATTCTTCTTATTTTTTCAATTTTTCTGTTTTTCTATGTTCTGATTTTATAATTTTTCTGTTTTTTTTTTTTTAAATGATGGATTTTTCAATTTTTCGGTTTTTCGGCTTTTAGATTTCTTAATTTTTGGTTTTTTCAATTTTAGATTTGTTAGTTTCTCGATTTTTCAGCTTTTCATGCAAATCTTCGAGTTTCTATTTTTAAATGATTCAGTTTTTTGATTTTAAATATGTAATAATAATTTTTAAAATGTCACTTTTTCAGTTTTTAAACTTTCCAACTTTTAGATTTTAATTTTTCCGGTTTTTCGTTTTGGATTTTTATTTTCTTTATTTTTTCAATTTTTCTAAATAACTGAAAAATGTTCCTATTTTATGTTTTTTCAATACCAATTTTTTCAATGTCTCGTTTCTTTTGTTTCTTCGATTTTACGACATGCCTCTCGAGATTTCAATTTTTAATTTCTTCAGTTTTTCGATTCGGTTTTTCTTTTTGTTAATTTTTAGAATTTTTCGGGTTTTCAATGTTCTGACTTTATATTTTTCTTTTTTCAACGTGAAAATTTTCGATTTATTAAAAATTACATTTTAAAATTTTTCATTTCTTCAATTTTTCGATTTACAATTTTCCGTTTCGGATTTTTGTTTTCCCTATTTTTCTGTTTTTCTTTTTTCAATGTGCAATCTTTCCATTACGGATGTTTCAATTTTTCGGTGTTCCAATTTTTCGACTTTTCGGCTTTTCGATTTTTAATTTTTCTTTTTTCCAATATTAATTTTTTAATTTCTTAATTTTTCAATTTTTCGTATCTTTCATTTTTGATTTGCAATTTTTCTTGTTTTCATTATAAATATCTAATAATTGCAATTTTAAAAATTTTTCAGTTTTTCAATTTCACAGTTTTGGAATTTTTCAATTTTTCATTTATTGGATTTTAATATTTTTTGTATCTTCGACTTTTCAATTTTTTAATTTTATGTTTTTTCCTTTCTTCATTTTTCTATTTTTAGAATTTTCGTTTCGGTTTTTATTTTTCTTATTTTTTCAATTTTTCAGTTTTTCAATGTTCTGATTTTATAATTTTTCCGCTTTTTTTTCAATGTGAAATTTTTCAATTTTTCGATTTAAAATTTTTCGTTTCAGTTTTTTATTTTTCCTGTTTTTTCAATTTTTCTGTTTTTCAATGTCCTACTTTTATAATTTTCCGCTTTTATTTTTTCAACGTGAAATGTTTCGATTATGAATTTTTCAATTTTTCGACTTTTCGACTTTTCGATTTTTCATTTTTCGTGTTTCCAATGTTAGATTTTTTAATTTTTCAATTTTTCGTTTCATTAATTTTTGATTTGCAATTTTTTGTTGTTGTCACTATAAATAACTAATAATTACAATTTTTAAAATTTTTCAGTTTTTCAATTTCACAATTTTGGAATTTTCCAATTTTTCATTTATTGGATTTTAGCATTTTTTTGTATATTCGACTTTTCAATTTTTCGATTTTTAATTTTACAATTTTTCGGTTATAGATTTTTCAATTTTTTAATTTTATGTTGTTAAATTTTTCATTTCTTCATTTTTATATTTTTACAATTTTTCGTTTCGGTTTTTTATTTTTCTTATTTTTTCAATTTTTTGGTTTCTTAATGTTCTGATTTTATAATTTTTCTGGTTTTTTTTTCAATGTGAAATTTTTTAATTATGGATTTTTCAATTTTTTAATTTTATGTTTTTAAATTTTTCATTTCTTCATTTTTCTATTTTTAGAATTTTCGGTTCGGTTTTTTATTTTTCTTATTTTTTCAATTTTTCAGTTTTTCAATGTTCTGATTTTATAATTTTTCCGCTTTTTTTTCAATGTGAAATTTTTCAATTTTTCGGCTATCAATTTTTCGATTTAAAATATTTCGTTTCAGTTTTTTATTTTTCCTGTTTTTTCAATTTTTCTGTTTTTCAATGTCCTCATTTTATAATTTTTCTGCTTTTATTTTTTCAAGGTGAAATGTTTCGATTATGGATTTTTCAATTTTTCGACTTTTCGATTTTTCATTTTTCGTGTTTCCAATGTTAGATTTTTTAATTTTTAAATTTTTCGTTTCGTTAATTTTTGATTTGCAATTTTTCTTGTTGTCATTATAAATAACTAATAATTACAATTTTTAAAATTTTTCAGTTTTTCAATTTCACAGTTTTGGAATTTTTCAATTTTTCATTTATTGGATTTTAGCATTTTTTTGTATATTCGACTTTTCAATTTTTCGATTTTTAATTTTACAATTTTTCGGTTATAGATTTTTCAATTTTTTAATTTTATGTTGTTAAATTTTTCATTTCTTCATTTTTATATTTTTACAATTTTTCGTTTCGGTTTTTTATTTTTTCAATTTTTTGGTTTCTCAATGTTCTGATTTTATAATTTTTCTGTATTTTTTCAATGTAAAATTTTTTAATTATGGATTTTTCAATTTTCCGTGTTCAACTTTTCGATTTTTTTGCTTTCAGATTTTTTAATTTTTGTTTTTTCAATTTAAGATTTTTCGTTTCCCAATTTTTAAATTTCTCGTTTATTTAATTTTTGATTTACAATTTTTTTAGTTTTCATTTTAAATGTGTAATAATGATCACATTTTTTAAAATTTTTCAGTTATTCAATTTTTCGATTTTAGAATGTTTCGATTTTTCAATTATTGGATTTTAACACTTTTGTGTATATTCGACTTTTCAATTTTTCGATTTTAATTTTAAATTGTCACTTTTTCAATTTTTCAAGTTTTGAATTTTTCAATTTCGAGAATTTGTAATTTTGCGATTTGAGTTCTCAAGTTTCCAATTTTTAAATTTTCATTTCTTTTTGATTTTTTAATGTTTCGATTTTATAGTTTTTTTGTTTTTTCGATTTTTTGTTTCTTCAATTTTACGACATGCAACTCTCCCAGTTTTCATTTTTGAATTGTAGAGTTTTGGATGTTCCAATTGGTAGATTATGCAATTTAATGAGTTTTCAATGTTCCGATTTTATAATCTTTCATTTTTTTAATGTGAAATGATTCAATTTTTCACTTTTAAAGTTTTCGATTTTTCAACTCTGGGATTTTTTTAATTTTTCGGTTTGTGTTTAATTATGGATTTTTCAATTTTTCAGTTTTCAATTTTTCGATTTTTCAGTTTTTAGATTTCTTAATTTTTCGTTTTTTCAATTTTTGATTTTTTAGTTTCTCGATTTTTCAATTCTTCATTTCTTTAATTTTTCATTTTAAATATGTAATAGTAATAACAATTTTTACAATTTTCACTTTTTCAATTTTATGATTTTAGATTTTTTTTGTATATTCGACTTTTCTATTTTTCAATTATAATTTTTCAATTTTTCGATTTTACAATGTTCTTATTAATTTTATAAATTTTTTGTTTTTGGAATTGTTTTTCTTTATAATTTTACGACATGCAAATCTTCGAGTTTCCATTTTTAAATGATTCAGTTTTTCGATTTTAAATATGTTATAATAATTTTTAAAATGTCACTTTTTCAGTTTTTAAACTTTCCAACTTTTCGATTTTTAATTTTTCAATGTTTCGTTTCGGTTTTTTATTTTCATTATTTTTACAATTTTTCTAAATAATCGAAAAATGTTCCTATTTTGTTTTTTCAATATCAATTTTTTCAATTTCTCGTTTTTTTTGTTTCTTCAATTTTCCGACATGCATCTCGAGTTTTCGTCTTCAAATTTTTCAGTTTTTTGATTTGCAATTTCACGAGATTTCAATTTTTAATTTCTTTAATTTTTCAGTTCAGTTTTTCTTTTTTTTATTTTTTCAATTTTTCGGTTTTTCAATGTTCTGTCTGTATAATTTATCTTTTTTCAAAGTGATTTTTTTTAATTTTTGGGTTATCAATTTTTCGATTTTTTAATTTTATATTTTTAATTTTTTTATTTCTTCAATTTTTTTAATTACAATTTTCCGTTTCGGTTTTCTGTTTTCCTTATTTTTTAAATTTTTCTGTTTTTCGATGTCCTCATTTTATAATTCTTCTGTTTTTTTTTTCAATGTGAAATGTTTTAATTATGGATTTTTCAATTTTCCATTTTTTCGTTTCCTAATTTTTCAATTTTTCGTTTGTTTAATGTTTGATTTGCAATTTTTCTTGTTTTCATTATAAATATCTAATTACAATTTTTAAAATTTTTCAGTTTTTCAATTTCACAATTTTGGAATTTTTCAATTTTTCGTTTATTGGAATTTTCGATTTTTAATTTTTCAATGTTTCGATTATCAATTTTTCAGTTTTATTATTTTGCTTTTAAATTTTTCATTTCTTCATTTTTCCATTTTTACAATTTTCCGTTTCGGTTTTTTTATTTTTCTTATTTTTTCCATTTTTCGGTTTTTCAATGTTCTGATTTTATCATTTTTCCGTTTTTCTTCAATATGAAATTTTTTAATTATGGATTTTTCAATCTTTTCGTGTTCAATTTTTCCATTTTTTTGCTTTTAGATTTTTAAATTTTTGTTTTTCAATTTTAGATTTTTTCGTTTCCCATTTTTTTAATTTTTCGTTTATTTAATTTTTGATTTGCAATTTTAAAAATTGATTGGATTTTAAAAATTTTTCATTATTCGACTTTTCAATTTTTTAATTTTTCAATTTTTCGATTCTCCAATTTTTCTTTTCTTCAACTTTTCGATTTGCAATTTGTCGTTTCGGTTTTTTGTTTACTTGATTTTTGCAATTTTTCGATTCTTGATTGTTCCTGTTTCAATATCTTGTTTTTTCCATTTCAATTTTTTTTATTTTCTGTTTCTTCATTTTTTCGATTTGTATTTGTTTTTGTTTCTTTAATTTACGACATGCAACTCTCCGAATTTTGTTTTTTTCGATTTTGTAATTTTTCGATTTGCAATTTCACGAGAATTCAATTTTTAATCTTTCAATTTTTGATTTTTCAATTTTTCATTTCTTCAATTTTTTAGTTGCAAATTTTGGTTTATTTTTTCAAATTCTTGGTTTTTCAATGTTCTGATTTTATAATTTTTATTTTTTTCGATTTGAAAATTTTCAATTTTTGAGTTTTTCAATTTTCGATTTTCCAACTTTTGGATTTTTCAGTTTCATAGTGAGTATTGGATTTTAAAACTTTTTCATTTATTCAATTTTTCGATTGTTAATTTTTCAGTTTCTCGATATTTAATTTTTCGATCTTTCAATGTTACAGTTTTTCGACTTTACAATTTTGACGATTATGATTCAACTTTAATTGCATAATTTTTGGGATTTCAAATTTTTCGATTTTTTAACTTTTCGATCAAAAAAACGGAAATACTTTAAAATTGAAAAACCAAAAATGAAAAAACGAAAAGTATCAAACGTGTAAGATTTGTAAACCAAGAACTTGAAAAACGGAAGAAACGAAAAATTCTAAAATCGAAAAGATTAAAAATTGAGAAACCTTAAACTTCAATAATCCCATAAACGAAATATGTATTATAAAAAAGGAAATGAAAAAACGAAAAATTGTGATATCAAAAAAAAATCAAGAATTTGAAAAATTGAGGAAACGAAAGATTGAAAAATGAAAAATTGATAAACAAAAATCGAAAAATGATAAATTGTTACATGGAAAACATGCAAAATTGAAAAATTGCAAATCCAGACATAGAAGAATTTAAAAAAGGAAATACATAACTCTAAAATTGAAATCCTGAAAATTAAAGAAATCGGATAACTGAGAAATCCAAAAATTGCAAAATGGAAAAATCAAAGATTGAAAATTTAAAAAATTGAATACACGAAAAATTGTGAAACCGAAACATTGAAAGATTAAAGTAAATGAAAAAAAACGGTTAGATGGAGATTTGGGGTGTGAATGTGAGTACTTACGGAGATGTCGTCCGAGGGGTAAAGCAGCAGCTCGCGTTGGGGGTCATTCTGCAGAACGGTCTTATTCTTGAGGAGGAAGTTTTCGAAGTCCAGGGGTTCAACGAGCTGGGGTTTGTTCTGCGAAAAAAAAACACCAATGAGTGACAATTAGTGGCCGGTGTCCGACTCGGAAAGTTTTTTCAACTGCTGCTTTAGAATGTCCTCGCTCCTACTCAACTCCCCCATAAACCAGCGCGCAAACTCGCACGTGGGGGCATCTTCTTCGACGCAACGTTGCCCCCTGAAGAACACACATTCGCACTCATTCCGACACGAGCATTCCGGCACCTCGGATTCATCATAATCCCCGAACTCTTCTCCGAACCCTTCATACTCGTCGGTGTCCTCGGACTCTTCCTCAGACTGTTCAGACAAAACCAGAGACTCCACATCGAAGTCCAAGTCAATCTGCTCCTTCGAAGAGTGCGGCTGGAGGTTCACACAATAGTTGAGTTTGTCGATCCAAGTCGCGATCTTGTCACAAAAATCGATTATCGTCTTCTTGTACATGTTCTTGGTGGACCTGCAGCCGATGTCCACCACGTTGCGTTTTTGCAACCAGTTGAGAATCTCCTCGGACATCACCATTTCGGTGAAGTTGAGCAAGTAGAGAGGTTCTTTTCCGAAGAGGTTGACGATGGCTTTGGCCGTCAACTCCGTCTGGCATTTGAGCCAGAGCAACTTCTGTTTTTCGCCGCACTTGCACCTCTTCGGACTGCGTGGTTTTCTTTTACGTCTCAAGGTATGAAAATACGAGGAGGCCTCCTTGGGTTGGAGGCGGCAATCGCCCCCTTGGAGGAGTTCGTTTAAGCGAGTCACGCACTGGGTCGAGAGCACCTGGTGGTGGGCCTGCCAGGTGGCCAGGACGCGCCGTTTGATGGGGCGGGCCATTTGGATGAGACGTGGTGAACATGGGTCAGTGCGGGGACACTTTTCGCATTTTTTGGGAATGCATTCAGGGACTCTCCTCTTAGGGGTGGACAGCATATCCATGTACTCCTTCTGGGACATGGAGCTGCGGTCCAAAATCGACGGATTTCTGTGACACGTGATGTGTTTGCGATCCTTCTTCTCGCATTTAGGGGGAAGACTGGGCACCGCGAGTCCTCGGAGCGACGAAAATTTTCGAACACAAGAGGATTTTTTACCACTACATTCTAGAATCGGTGTCGAAAGGAACGGACTTCGCAGAGGAGAGTTTCGAGTCGACTTGCTGCTCCAAAAACCGGAACCAAAGTCGCCTTTTAAGTCGCAAACTCGGAGCGTTTTTTCGAAAGGTGTCGAAGATGAGGGGTACCGGTGACAACGAGGAGAACAAGAACGACTCCTCTTAGTGACGTCACATGGGTTTACTTTTCCACATAACTGCTGCATCTGTGGTTTCTGACTCCTGTCACAAAATATTTTACTCTTGGGTGTTTTCTTGGCAAAGCACTGGCCACAAGGTTGGAGTTTAGGTGGGCGTGGTTGAACAAGAGGAGTTTTAATCGGGCTACGCCTCCTTCCAAAATCACATTCTCCACCAGTGTCTGAAGCTGTCCTTATGGGAATTCCCGATCTGGTTGCTTGTTGTGACTTTTGTCCACACTTCTTAGTTAGGGGTTTATTTTCGTCGATAGTTTCCAAGTTTGATGTGCTCGTCGAACTAGATCTGACGCTACACCTCGTACTCGTTTCCAACATCGGTGCAGAGTGGAACAGCGATTTTAAATTTTTTTTGTCGTCATCGCGAGTCCGCTTCCGGCCTTTCCAAATTGGGATTTTCGACGGGGCGACAACACGCTTCGGTAATCGTAGCCCGAGCTGCTTCTGATCTTTTGGGATGATTTCTACATGTACAGGTAATTTTAAATTCTTTATATCCAAGACATTTTTATCTTTCGAAATGGACACTCTTGCGAAATCACGTTTCATGGTGGCTGTAAGACGGGGATGTTGAAATCAACGCCGACAACATCGTCACAGAAGATTTAGACGAAACATTGAACAGACGTTTCACTCTGATGAAAACTGACAAGTGAAATGGGAGCGTTTTTGTTTGTCAGAATGACAGTGTGGAGCGAGGGGTAATTCGCTGGAAGAATGTACAAGGGAAATACACAGAAGTGCTAGGGATGTATAAAGGAAGTATGGTCAAGTGAAAATATTTTAACCAATTCGAGATGTGATTTGACAAAAGTGAGCCATGAAATTTTTTCTTCATGTTGGATAAACTGATTCATTGACAAAACGGTTTGTCTGTCAGTGCATGAGACTGACGTTCACTTGATTGTACGAAATGCGAATTTTTGAAAATTTCTAAAAATTTCGATATTCCGGAAAAACGGTTGCAGTTATCAAAGAAACGAGACCGGAAGTGAGTTCTTGACCTCGAAATCTACCAGAATATGTGTTTAGTTAAGTTTCGAAAATGTCAAAATTTGGCCGAAATTTGAAGAAGGGGGGACCATTGGAAAAATTTCATTTCTAAAAAAGTTGCCTGAAAATTCTGAAAAAATTCAGGGACGTAGATCTCAACACGCTGATTTCAAAAATATAGGGTGCCGATGATCACGGAGCAACATTTTCGAAAGAATCGGTACGAAATTCGAATTTTTGAGAATTTCTAAAAATATCGATATTTCAACGGTCGATTCCCGAAAAACGGTTGCAGTTATTAAAGAAACGAGGCCGGAAGTGAGTTCTAGAAGCCGAAATCTAGCAGAAAATGTGTTTAGTTAAGTTTCGAAAATGTCAAAATTTGGCCGAAATTGGAAAAATTTCACTTCTAAAAAAGTTGCCTGAAAATTCTGAAAAAATTCAGGGACGTAGATCTCAACATGCTGATTTCAAAAATATAGGGTGCCGATGGTCACGGAGCAACATTTTAGAAAGAATCGGTACGAAATTCGAATTTTTGAGAATTTCTAAAAATATCGATATTTCAACGGTCGATTCCGGAAAAACGGTTGCAGTTATCAAAGAAACGAGGCCGGAAGTGAGTTCTAGAAGCCGAAATCTTTCAGAAAATGTATTTACTAAAGTTTCGAAAATGTCAAAATTTGGCCAAAATTTGAAGAAGGGGGGACCATTGAAAAAATTTCACTTTTAAAAAAGTTGTCTAAAAATTCTGAAAAAATTCAGGAACGTAGATCTCGACACACTGATTCCAAAAATATAGCATGTTGATGGTCACGGAGCAACATTTTCGAAAGAATCGGTACGAAATGCGAATTTATGAGAATTTCTGAAAATTTCGATATTTCAACGGACGATTCCGGAAAAACGGTTGCAGTTATCAAAGAAACGAGGCCGGAAGTGAGTTCTTGAGGTCGAAATCTACCAGAAAATCTATTTAGTTAAGTTTCGAAAATGTCAAAATTTGGCCGAAATTTGAAGAAGGGGGGACCATTGGAAAAATTTCACTTTTAAAAAAGTTGTCTAAAAATTCTGAAAAAATTCAGGCACGTAGATCTCGATACGCTGATTCCAAAAATATAGGGTGTCGATGGTCACGGGGCAACATTTTCGAAAGAATCGGTACGAAATGCGAATTTTTGAGAATTTCTAAAAATATCGATATTTCAACGGTCGATTCCGGAAAAACGGTTGCAGTTATCAAAGAAACGAGGCCGGAAGTGAGTTCTAGAAGCCGAAATCTTTCAGAAAATGTATTTACTAAAGTTTCGAAAATGTCAAAATTTGGCCAAAATTTGAAGAAGGGGGGACCATTGAAAAAATTTCACTTTTAAAAAAGTTGTCTAAAAATTCTGAAAAAATTCAGGAACGTAGATCTCGACACACTGATTCCAAAAATATAGCATGTTGATGGTCACGGAGCAACATTTTCGAAAGAATCGGTACGAAATGCGAATTTATGAGAATTTCTGAAAATTTCGATATTTCAACGGACGATTCCGGAAAAACGGTTGCAGTTATCAAAGAAACGAGGCCGGAAGTGAGTTCTTGAGGTCGAAATCTACCAGAAAATCTATTTAGTTAAGTTTCGAAAATGTCAAAATTTGGCCGAAATTTGAAGAAGGGGGGACCATTGGAAAAATTTCACTTTTAAAAAAGTTGTCTAAAAATTCTGAAAACATTCAGGGACGTAGATCTCGACACGCTGATTCCAAAAACATAGGGTGTCGATGGTCACGGAGCAACATTTTCGAAAGAATCGGTACGTAATGCGAATTTTTGAGAATTTCTAAAAATATCGAAATTTCAACGGTCGATTCCGGAAAAACGATTGCAGTTATCAAAGAAACGAGGCCGGAAGTGAGTTCTAGAGCTCGAAATCTACCAGAAAATGTATTTACTTAAGTTTCGAAAATGTCAAAATTTGGCCAAAATTTGAAGAAGGGGGGACCATTGGGAAAATTTCACTTTTAAAAAAGTTGTCTAAAAATTCTGAAAAAATTCAGGGACGTGGATCTCGACACGCTGATTCCAAAAATATAGGGTGTCGATGGTCACGGGGCAACATTTTCGAAAGAATCGGTACGAAATGCGAATTTTTGAGAATTTCTGAAAATATCGAAATTTCAACGGTCGATTCCGGAAAAACGGTTGCAGTTATCAAAGAAACGAGGCCGGAAGTGAGTTCAAGAGTCCGAAATCTACCAGAAAATGTGTTTAGTAAAGTTTCGAAAATGTCAAAATTTGGCCGAAATTTGAAGAAGGGGGGACCATTCGAAAAATTTCACTTTTAAAAAAGTTGTCTAAAAATTCTGAAAAAATTCAGGGACGTAGATCTCGACACGCTGATTCCAAAAATATAGGGTGTCGATGGTCACGGAGCAACATTTTCGAAAGAATCGATATGAAATGCGAATTTTTGAGAATTCCTAAAAATTTCGATATTTCAACGGTCGATTACGGAAAAACGATTGCAGTTATCAAAGAAACGAGGCCGGAAGTGAGTTCAAGAGTCCGAAATCTACCAGGAAATGTGTTTAGTTAAGTTTCGAAAATGTCAAAATTTGGCCGAAATTTGAAGAAGGGGGGGCCATTGGAAAATTTCACTTTTAAAAAAGTTGTCTAAAAATTCTGAAAAAATTCAGGCACGTAGATCTCGATACGCTGATTCCAAAAATATA